AGATGTCATTATATATATAGCAACAATAGTGTAGTTTAGGAATATTTTATTTATACATTTATATTCAATTGATATACTCATGTATTATTATTTTTCCTACCTGATATTATATAAATAAAAAAAAAAATAAATAAAAATATTATTAATAATACTAAAAGTATTAACTGATTGAATACTATTAAAATTTTTATGAATCGAAATTTGATTATCTTCATTTATTTGATCTTGAAATTGAACTACAGACTCATAAGTTACTTCAATAGGAGATGAAACTTCTTGATGAAAAGTAAGTTGCTTAGTTTTCTTCTTATGTCCTCTCTTATTTTTTTTAATAAGATTCCAAATTTCTGGATGTTTAATCATAAAATGATTTTTTAATGTTAATTCATTTGTTGATATAGGATAAGAATGATCATTTTTATATTGTAAACAAATATAAGTTTTAGTAAGATCATTAGAAGCAAAATAAGTTCAGATAGGATGAACTAAATTAACTTCAGTCATATTAAATTTATATTATATAAATATTTAATTTAATAAAGTATGGTTACGTAAATAAAAATCTAATCAGTGAATAAACACTAATTAGATAAATACATATTTTTCAAATAAAAAACAAACTAAATTAAGAATAAATAATAAAAATGATTGAATAATTTTACTATGTTGTAAAGAATGATAAATAACTAATTTTAAAATTTTTTGAATAACTTGATCGAGTGATAAATTTTTTGTATCAATAATCATAGAAATTTGTTTTGCTTGTTGAATCAAATCATATGACTTAAAATCATATTGCATTAAATCATCAAAAATTGATGTAAAATTATTTTCATATTCTAACTGATTCATTCTGCGAAATATTCGAGTTTTAATATCAGCATTGAGTACAATTTTTATTTCTGCATCAGGAAGAATCTTGGTTGTTACATCACGTCCAACTACAACAAATCCTTTTCCATTGACTAATTGATTAATTTTAGTATTAATTGCTTCTCTAATATCATTATTCCTTGCTATTTCTGCTGCACAAGTTCCAATTTGTAAATATTCTTTAATATTACATTGATTAATTTTTTTTAAATTATCAATAGTAATTTCAAATTTAATTATTTCATCACTTAAATTATCCACATGGTGGTTATAATATGTTGCTGCAAAATAGTGATAAAACAAGCCAGTATCAATAAATTTGTATTTTAAAAGTTTTGCAAGTTCACTACCAATCGATATTTTTCCTGTTGCTACTTGACCATCGATTGCAATATTAATTAGTTCACTTAAAAGATTCAACATCTTGTTACATAATCAAAATTTTAGTTTGTCATTAAATAGCTAACTAGATAATTTATTTTTCCTCTTTTTCAATAGTATAAATATCACTATTTTTAAATACATATGTAGTATACTTTAATAATAATAACATTGTACTCAAAGAATCAACCTTTTGAATTTTTGAATTTTTTAATAATGTACATTTATCCAACAAATAATTTTTATGTTTTTCATAAAATTTATTTGTGATATAAAAATCTTCATATAAAACACTTTCAAGAAATTTTTCAAAATCATTCGTGAAATTATTAGATAGTTTAGACATTTTAATTATGTATTTAAAATTCTAGTTGGTGAAAATACACTAACTAGATAATTTATTTTATAATATATAAATAAATAAAAATAAATAAACAATATTAATAATAATTTGTACAATTATGAGCTAAATGATCACTACATTTACACTTATAACATTTTTTTTCTTGTTTACAATTATAAACAATATGATCATCAGCACCATATCTAAAGCAAACTTTCTTATTTCTTATTTCATTATTTTTTTTAAAATCTTGTTTTTTTGAATATAAAATTAATTCTTCTTGTGTATTTACCATTCCTCTATATAGATGATTAAAATCATTTCCTGATGTAAAGCATTTATATAAATCAAATTGAACATATTCACTATTAGAATTTTTTCGACTAATTGGAAAAGTTAATCCACAAATAAAAGTATATGTACAATCTTTTATTTCTCATTTACATGCATCACAACATGTATGATCATAATTTCTACTACAATTTCAATATTCACCATGATTTTTAGAATAAAGATATGAATGAATTGTATCAGTTGATTTAATTTTATTAAAATAAGAAAAAAATGTATGTTTATTTTGATTATCGAATATATATGTGTTTACAGAAATATAATCATCATTATTTTTTAATTGAATTTGAGGCATTTCAATAAAAGCTAAAAATTTTTTAAATAATTCATAAATTTCGTGTTCTTGCATAATTAAAAGTTACTGAAGGAATTTTCTACTTGGTGTTAACACTAAGTAGATTTTACAAAAATTTAATTAATCAATAAACAACACCCAATATTATATATCTATATTCAGATTTAGGATAAGATCATGAAATAATTAAGTTGTCAACTTATCAGCAACAATTGGTTCAATTTGCTTATTGATTCAAGCAAATGATTTTTCTTCATGATTTTTCAACTAGATTATGTTTATCAACTTTAACCTAACAGAAGAAGGAATTGGAGTCAAAAAGTATAAATAAATCGAATATTTGAGATTATCCATTTTGTAAATTCTTTCTCTGGTTTGAATTTCAAAGTTAAAAATGGTAATCTTCCACATGAAATTTCTCGAACACCAATTTGAATATCAACTAAGAATATAAATTCATCATTACTGAGAATTAGTAAACATTAAGTTCACTAAAGTAATGGTAATTGGGGATGATATTCAGAGCTTCGTATAGGTGTTGCGAAGTGAAAATCTGAATTTTCATTTTCTGCTTGATTACCAGAGATCTTTTCTTGAGTAAATCTTTCTTCTTGTTCTTTGATAACCTTTAGAACTTGTTTATTAAATAATTCTTCTTTCTTTTTTAACAACTTTTTCTTCTTTTGTTTAAAGATATTCAATTTAAATTCTTGTAAAAGTTTTTGCTCATCTTTATAAATTGTAGATCCAGTTTCTTTAAAACTTTTAATCCAAAAATAAATTTTATAATCAAGTTTTCTTTCTCGAAACATTTTCTTTATTCTCATTAAAGATCCTTTTTGATTAAGATTTACTAATCATTCTTTCTTTAATAAAGTTTTATCAACTAATTGTAATAATTTAAAATATTTATAATGACTTCTAAAAGGATATTTAGCATCTTTATGTCAAGGATCATACTGCCAAAGATGAGGATGAAATTCTTATTTTAAATCATCTCCAAGATATAGTCGAGTACCACATTTACATTTAAAAAAATCGTAATAAGGAATAATTTTAGAATGTTCTAAAGTATTAAATTTTTTTTTTGTTCTCTTTTTGAATAAAAGAGAACATATGTTTTATCGAAATCAATATTCCATCAAGGAATACTATTAATAATCATGAAAGATTCATAAAAATGTTTTTGAATTGGTTTTACAAATTGAGAAAAATGTGTGACAATATCTCATTGCATTTTTAAGATAAAGAATTTATTATAATAAAGATTATTATTATTTCTTTATAAGAACAGCTCATAGAGCTCTTGTTCTTAGTATCAAATTATGAAATTCGATGAAGATTTTTGACTTAGCAAACTTGTCTTTTTATAGAGAAAATCTCAATATATTAAATATATTAAGTATTATAAAATTTAAAGTATATGTATAATTTATTAATAAAATATTGGATAAATGTTTAATTACAAATAAGATACATTTACTATTAATTAATAAATTAATCTAACAAATCGTCAAGTTGGGCATATAATAATTTTTGTAGTTTAAGATTTATTTTGATCAAATAATTATCACGTTCTAATCGTGAAACATTTGCTTCTAAATTTGAAATCTAAACCCAACATTTTCCTAATTTTTGTGTAAGTCTTGTGATTTCAAGATCTGCATTAGCTGGTTTGTAACGAATACACAAAAAATTATGCTTTTTACAATTTATACATATATTATAATCATCTTCATAAATACACTTTTTATTACGTTCATGACAATTTTTACAATGTGTTTTTTTAGTATAAGTTGTTTTAACTTTCATTTTTATTTATAATATATAAAATAATAAAATAACATGTATAAAATAGATATTTATACTTTTTCAAATAAATTAATTTATTTTTTATTTTTTTTTTTTATAAATGAATAAACTGATAACAATGTTTGTTTATATATATATTTTTTTTTGAATTTCCACTTGCCTGGTTGCTAGTGGGCCACAGTTGGCAGCTATTTTATTAGTTCAATTTTTAAGTTCACAGGACCTTCTATCAGAACCCCATTTAAGAATCTGGGTACTGAAGATCTTCCTATTTTCATAGTGCATCACCTGCTGTGGTTAATCAACAATCATAGTTCTAACTCAGTTTTTCATCTCCCGTTGGACTTGAACTGGCAACCTTGCGATTGGTAACCTGGGAGCGTAACCACTTCGCTATCGACCTGCAGGTCATTTGTTTATATTTTAAAATATATAGTAAATATAAAATCTTTATTATTTAAGAACAAGATATTTTATTATTAAGAAAAAATTTTAACAAACAAAAATGAGAAATATTCATCCAATATGAAAATATTTTCATGATAATTCTCTTAAAACAAGAATTATTTGTAATATTTATGAAGCATCATATCCAATTGAAACAAATTTAACAAATCTCAAAAATCATTATTTTAAATGACCTATAACAAAATACAATTTAGCAATAAAACAATATGAAGAGAGTAAAAAAGAAATTCAAAAAACTCAAAATAATAAAGAAATCGAATCACAAAAAGATTTTTCAGAAATAGCAATTAATCAAGAAATTAAAAAAAAAATAATAAACAACTAATTCAAAATGAACCAGATAATTATCAGTTGAGTGAAAATGAAACTATAAAAATTATTAAAAATAGACAAAGTCTTTTTGTTTTTTTTAAAAAAAATGATGAAGATAAAAATAATAAAAAACAAAGAATTGATACTATTAGTTTAAATGATGTAACAGAATTTAATATTGATGAAATTCATTTTAAAACTAATGGAAAATATATTATTACTTTTAAATAGAATGTTTCTTTTTTCTTTTTGAACATGCTAAAATAACAGTCGAAGCTCTTATTTCTAACTATTTATCATTATTTTTTTTTATAAAATGATTCTTTATAACTTTAAGAATAGGATTTTTATATTTTCTTTGACAAATTTCACATTCAATATATCCATCATCAATATTTGTAAAAAAATTCCATATTTTATGTGAATTTATTTTTCGCATCATGAATAAAGAATAAAATATTGATATCGTTTACATTTAAATAACTTATCAAAATTTTGTGATACTGTAACCATTTCTATTATTGGTTAATTTATCATGAGCTAACTTAAAATTGATTGCTTGTTGTTTTGCTTGTTCATTTGTTTGTTTTTTATTTATATAAAACCATTTTTGTTTATGTTTATTATTTTTTTTTCCACTATTGAAATCTCCAAGTATTTCTTTTTTTATTAAGTAAAATTCCATTATATCTTGATTTATTTGTATTATATAATTTACAATTTAATGAATTTAGTTATAATGTTGTTTCTCGTAAGTTATATTTTCAATTATCAAAACCTATTCTATTAATATGATCAATTATTTTGTATTTTGAACAAACCATTCGATGAAACAATAAACTTTTATGATTATTTTCTTTATTGCTTGTCTGAATATAATATGTATTTCCCAGTTTATTACAACTCCAAGTATAATTTTATATAAGATTAAAGTTGTCGAGATCAGTTAAGAATGTGACATCTAGAGTTTGAGTTAATATTTCATTGAACAATATAGCATCAATCTCTATTAGATAATAAGAATTTGATTTTTTTCGAGGTTTGATAATTGGTAATTTGGTCTATACTGACAACACTTCGAATGAATCAAACTTTTCTTTCCAAGGTGATTTGTTAGTTTCTTCCTCTAATGAATACATTTTTAAATTTTCAATTATGAAATTTACAAGTTTATATACTTTTCAATTTTTTAAGTTTCATTAAAAAAAAAATTAAATAATTAAATTACTTAATTGTTATAATAATTTAAATAAATTATTTAAAATTCGAAAATCAAAATACTCAGTTAGTTTTTTAAAAAAAATTAATCTTTTCAACACATATCGCACCAATGAGCTTTCATTATTTTGAGTATTTTAAAATTTGAAAATCAAAATACTCGGTTAGTTTTTTAAAAAAAATTAATCTTTTCAACACATATTACACCAATGAGCTTTCATTATTTTGAGTATTTTAAAATTCGAAAATCAAAATACTCGGTTAGTTTTTTGAAAAAAATTAATCTTTTCAACACATATCGCACCAATAAGCTTTCATTATTTTGAGTATTTTAAAATTCGAAAATCAAAATACTCAGTTAGTTTTTGAAAAAAATTAATCTTTTTAACACATATTGCACCAATTAACTTTTATTAATTTTAGTATTTTGAAAACTAACATACTTTAAATTTTAATATTTAATTTATATTCATTAAAAAAATAAAAATTTCAAAAAAATTTTCAAAAAAAAATGAAAAAATTATGAAATGTCACAAAATCACTGTAATAAAATTAACTCAATACTATGATATTAATCAATTTAAACTTTTAAAAATATCAATCATTTTTACATCATCATCATCAATAATTATAAGTTTTTTTTTAATAATTTTTTTTAATAATAAAAAGCGATGAAATTTATTTTTTTCTTTATTAAAAAATGTCTTCTCAAGAACAACAACTACAAAAACCTCAAGAACAAGATAATTCTTATTTCTCTTTCTTGTTACAAACAAGACCTCTAAATTTAAAACATTCAATTGAAGATGTTGAACTTGAACTTGTTGATTATGATGATCAAATTTTTGAATTAAAAAAGTATGAATATTTAAAAAAAAAATAACAATAATAATAAATAATAATAATTTTATTAATAATAGAAAAAGAAAAAAAGCAGAA